AATTATCATACTTTCGCTCGTCAAAGACATAACGTGGAATAGGTCCCACTTCATCCATTTGGCCCTTCACCACATGCCAGTACTCCGCCTGCTCCCGCACGGGCTGATGGCGCCTCATCCAAACGCACATCGCCTTCACATCGCTTTCACCAGGGCAATTCATAACTATTTCTGTGGCACCGCTCCGCTTCACCCATTCTTTGTAGTTCCTCTCGAGTGGGGGTGACACCAAAACCATGCCCCATCCCCTGGGAGCCAAATTACCAGACGGTTCATCATCCGGCTCTGCCACATCGTAAATAATATACCCCTTCATCCCACGGTCAGACAGACTCCTCACAACAGACTTATTACTGGATTCGCTCATGTATGTCGACACCGTCCTGCTGGTCTTGTCAAACAGGAATTTTCGATCCCCAATAAAGTAAACAACCACAGGGAGTTTCTCCGCATCGTAGTGCAGCAGCTGGTAGAGGAGGTACGAGCCGGCATTCATCGACTTCCCGATCCCGGGCGTCCCAATCAACACACGCCGCTCAGGCCTAAAGCCAGCCTCACCGTGACTGCTGAAGCACGCGGTTAGATCGCCCTTGACGATCTGCCACACTCGCTCCACCTCACAGTTCACGTAGCAGTCACGAGTGGATTCCGCCCCCTTCCGATTCCACGAGTACGGCCACCCCTTGTCCGAGGTGAGCACCATCAGCCTGAGACGTGCTTCACCGGATTGCTCCACACCGTCATCCTTTTCGAGGGTTCGGCCAACTGCCTTGTACTTCCATGGCTGTGGTGGTTCCCTTTCCCTCACTTCCAGTCCGGTCCCCTCGCCGCCAGGAACTTCCACCACGTGGCTCCACCTCGCATTGTACACAGACTCGTACAATCCCTCCAGTTTCATCGCTGCACTCATCGTCATTGAGATCCTCACTTCCTCAAGGGCTGCATCCAAAAAACTTTCAGTAATGCCATGAACATTTTCTTTTACCTCCGGAGCAGCTACTAGCCACCCCAGCAGAGCACTTACATGATTATAGTGGAGCTTCTCTATATCTTCTTCCATATCCATTTCATCCTTTACAGTCCACTCCATCCTCGCATAAGCACCTGCTGCCTGTATTTCGCCCAGTACTCCCTTATCACGGATATACCTCGTGGGTTCCTTAAAAAACTCCTCCAGCAAAACACTCCGATTGGTAGCCACAACGCCCCTTCTGCCAAATCTCAGCAGAAGAAAATCGTTAAGCTTCATTTCCTTGTAGCAAAATTCCCCTCTGAACAGTACATCTTCGATCGTGGTGGAAATGGTAAATTTCATTTCTTGCGCTCGTCTTCGCCTTTCTTCTGCCTCACGTCTTAGCCTTTCTTCTGCCTCACGGCTTTCTTCTCTCATTACCTGCATGAGAACTCCGTTTAGTTTTGCCTTTGGAAAAGGAGTGATTGTATCCTTTCCTTCATAGTCCCTCCATTGCTCGAGAGAGAACACACCCTCGGGATGAAGCTTATTAATAGCCTCCAATAGAATTTTCCTCTCATACAGCTCTCTGTATGGCGGCAATGCCGTTATTGTGCGTAATAACCTTTTGTCTTGGATAAACATCTCGGGATCCTGAAAAAACTCCTGCATCGTGACGTTCTCATTGGTGTCCACAACCCTGCCGCCAACAGAATTCCGAAGGAATTCATTCAGCCTCATGTCGGTCCTGTTAGTGCTTCCCTCCAAAAGGATGTCCTCTACGGTGCTGCCCATGGTCCACTGCGGTCGCTGCCTTTCCTCCACTCTTATGTGTGTCGCGGCGGGTTGATCTGTGTCACTATTGGACTCCAGCCTCGCTCTCCTCCGATCTCGTTGCGGGACATTGGACGATTGGTTTTCCTCATTATTGTGAAGTCCTTCCTCGGGCCTTCCAGACATTGTTTCTCCTTGTTTTCTTAGTTGGGTTAAGTTAAAGCTGAACACTAACGACCAATCAAAAGGGGAATAAGGAAAAAAGAAAATACGCACGGAAATGACTGGAAGACGCAGAAAAAGACTTATCCACACGGTGTGGACTACATATTGAGCTCAGTGGCGCAACAGAAAAAAAAAAGTACGTTTCAGCATAAAATAAAGCCAACGAAACCAACACACGAGAAACAAAACAATGCAGCAGCCACCAAACACCTCAGTAGATTGTCCACACCATTCTTGTAAGGCCTGCTTAAATCCTCTTCCATATCCATTTCATCCCTTACAGCCCTCTCCATCCTCTTGTAACGATCCGATGCCTGCATTTTTTTTTTTTTTCTTCTCTTACCAGTCGTAGTAACTACACCTCAAATGTGCAGCTCTGGTAAGCGTACGATGGAATTCAGCAGCAAGGATAACCTTACTCCGCGGGCAGCCATTATAGAATGGCTCCAACATCTGCCCTTCCGGCCCGTAAAACTAAGTAACAACTACTCATCGGGTTTGAAGCATGAACAGCAGGCGCTCAGCTTCCTCTCTAGCAAAGAGTACTATACCCTGGCACCACGTTGAGGTGGCCGGCTGAGCCAGGGATGCCTGCATTTCGTTCAATACTCCCGCATCGCAAATATACTTCGTGGGGTCCTTTAAAAACCCCTCAGCAAGACATCCCGATTGGCGTCCATAGCGCTCCTGCCGTCCAATTCCATCGTAAGAAAGTCATTCAGCTTCCATTTATTGACGCGAACCCCTCCTTTAAACAGCACAAAGCCAACCCTAGTGGAAACGGCAAATCCCAGTTCTTGTCGTTCTCGCCTTGCCCTTTCCTCTGCCCCCCGCCTCGCTCCTCTCAGAAAATAAGAGTAGGCTGTGTTTACTTGTGCCCTCGCAACAGAAGTGACCGTACCCTTTCCTTCAATGTCACTCCATTTCCTGAGTGTGACAATATTTTGTAAGCTTACATAAAGCCTTAAATATTATTTACCAATCATAATGGTCTTGTCTCGGCTCTTGGTATGGCGGCGATGCCTTTATTGTGCTCAATAACACTTCGTCTTGGAGGAAATTCGTGAGGCAATTAAAGGCTCCTTCATATAGACGTTCTCATTGGATTCCTCAACGCCCTGCCGCCAATATAATTCCGAAGGAAACCATTCAGCCACATTCTGGCGATGCGCTCATTTCCCTCCAGCAGCACTTTATCCAGCCGACCGTCAAGAGTCCAATTTGGTCGCCGCCTTTCCTCCACTCCTCTGCAAGTTGCAGCGTCGGAACCATCACCGCAGCCGCTGCAACGCGCCATCACAGCACCCGTGCGATGAAGCTTCCCACTCGCACCGCCCAACCGCGGCCTGCAGGTGCCGCTGGCTCCAATGGGCAGTCGCGGATTTTTTGTCCCGCAGTCCCAATGGCGTTGGGCGTGGCGCTCGCACGGCGGGGCTGTCGGTGCGCCACGCAGCCGCACTGCAACGCCTGTCGGCAAAACAGTCAAGGCACACCGCCTCCGCAGCAACACAACGTGCAATCGGCAACAACACCGCCACATTATCGCCCATTTGTATTTTATGATTCACGTTGTCTGTCCGTTTGCCCCATCCCTGACACCAAAAAAAAATAGTTGCTCACCTTCACAGAGGGTGAAGTAAAAATCACAAAAGGAGGCACGATCCCACCGTCACGCCGCAGGCCAACACTCCCCTCCACCCACCGCCATTGCCGCACAGGAGACCGCAGTCACATCGCAGAGTCAGCACCACAATGTGCACCGCACCACCGTGCAGTGAACAATGGGCGGGACGCAGCCATGCATCGCCCCGCTACATTTTCCCACCCCTCAAGTCTTGCGTGCCCGCACAAAGCAGCAAAAAGAATCAGAGTGCACACAAACCCAATCAACCCCCTCACTCGCTGAAGCACATTATTCGCATGGAGTGGCATCCAAGCACACAGCAGCAGTAGCAGGCTGCATGGAATTCCCCTGCCAACCCTGCAAAGAGACACAACAACTCTGCGGAGTAAAAGTGACAGCCCTCGGTGTTGCCCGCAGTCCACATGGCTGGACAAGTTCCACGCACGCATAGTTCCAAACCCCTCGCTGCCTGAGTGCACATCAACTAAACAAGTAAAAAAAATACGTGCGCGCAAGATGGCACTTAAATACGTGAAAGCTTCAGCCTGTTTCGTTCGATGGCGTTGGCGAGCAATCCCACACAATCCAATCAAAGTGACACGCCGGACAGGGAGGCGTCAGTTAATAAAAATAATTGCGCCAATGCAAAAAGCAGCAGGGATTTGGGTTCTGCACCCGACCTCGGGGGCGACAGTGGCATGAGAGTGTGTAAGTGTGCAATACCTTTCGTGGGACGGTGCTCCCCAATCCCGCCGTGCCTTGAGATAAAAGAACAACAACAACAAAAAGGATGGCCATGGCGCAGCTCCACTCAGTGGAGGCAATCGGGGCAGACACGGGTGGGAACCAAAGACCATACAAAATAAAAAAGGGGTAATAACTCCTCCAAGACACGGAATCGTGCAATGTTCATCCCTCTCCTTCTACATTGAGGCCACCACGACAGAACAAATGCAACAGACACGCGTACCGCACAATATATTTCGCTGTCCCGCGTTCCATCTTACTTCCCATGCGTGCCACGGCGGTGTTGCCTGCGTTACATCTGAGATAACTCCAAAATATCAGGCACCACGCTGTGGAGAGTGGATGCTTGACGAACGTGACCGCGTTAGTGCCTAACACGAAATGACGTCAAGGAAAAAAGATATCCGCGGCTCAAGCCGCCCGTGTGTGGCCGTACTAAAGCAGACACTGAGACACGTGTGGAACAACGCAAAAGGAGACAGGAGGAACCACCAGAGTAATCCAAAAAAAACATATCGATACATAAATACACAAAAAAATACATCAGCCCGCATACTTTTCCGTCCATTTTCCTTTTT